TTTTTTTTTTTTTTTTTTTCAGATTACAGTTGATTACATTCAACCAAAGTCGGAGCAGTTTCCTGAAAAAACATGCTGTACGGTGGTTGCAGGTGGTCTGAACGTAGCTGAAGCTCTGGTCGCAAGGGGATTGGCTAAAGTAGTGCGGTATCGCAGCGATGATGATAATAGGTTTCTAAAATGAAGTTTTGAAAATTTGGCGTTTTTTGCCAAAAAATTTTTGTCTATTTGATTTCGGAGTGATACAGAAGTGCTGTTTTTCAGGTCTTCTCAGTATGATGCACTGTTAGCAGCAGAAGCTAAGGCTGAGAAGAGTAAGAAAGGTCTTTTTGCGGATAAGGAAGAAAGCAATAAAGCTACAAAGAAGGTTCAGGAGCTTCAAGGAGTATGAGTTTTTCTAACTCGTTTTTTGGCGTTCCAGTTCTTTGTAGTTTATATGGGATTTTAGACACCTTCTTTATTCCTTTTTACGCGGTTATAATGCCCACAACAATATTCGCGAACAGCGAGCTAAAAAGTTTGAACAGAAGTTTTAGAGATGCTTTGCAGGATGCACAGAGATCGAAGCAGTTCCTGCCATTCTTACAACGGGCTGGTCGTTCAGAAGGCGTTGTAGAGTTCGTAGCTTCTGGAAGTAGGATGAGAATATATATTCCGAGAGATACATGTCTTGTCACATTTCTTTTGTCTGGAATCAATTGTCCGAGGAGTGCACGTATAGGACCAAACGGCAAGTTAATTGGTGAGTCCGAGCCTTTTGCAGAGGAGGCACTGAAATTTACGCGATCGAAAGTTCTACAGCGTGAAGTAAGTCTAGCCTTATACATATTTTTCTGCTTTTAATGTATTGTAATGATTTAAAAGTGTTAACTGTTTATTTTTTGCGTATTTCTTCATTTAAGGTTGAGGTTGAAGTTGAGGGCACAGATAAATCGGGGAGTTTTATTGGGTATATGTTCATTCAAACCGAGAAAGGAGCATTAAATCTAAGCGTGGAATTAGTTGAAAATGGGCTTGCATCAGTGCACTTTACTGCAGAAAAGGGGAATTACTACAGTCAGTTGTGTGCGGCGGAAAAGCGTGCGAAACAGGTATGAAACCATCTATATCAGTATTTCAGAATAGGTATTTTTTCAAAGGATGAATTCGTATTTTCTTTTCAAAGTAGTTTTGTTCATCAGTAAATATTTCATCTTCAGGGTAAATTAGGCATGTGGGCAGATTATGTTGAGGAAGATGTTACAGCTCAGGCAGAAGCCGCAGCCGCTGCTGATAAAACTGAAAGGGTGGTTAATTACATTGAAGTAGTTGTTACAGATGTTCAAAAGAATCTAATATTTGCTGCTCAAAATGTTGCAGATGGTAAGGGGAGTTTTTTTACTTTTTTCGTTTTTATACCTGATGGGATGAAATTCTTTGTTGCTTGCAGGCTCTAAGTTGGAGCTTATGATGAAAGAATTAAGAGAAGAACTTGCAAGGAATCCTCCGGTAATTGGTGCTTATACACCTCGACGAGGAGAACTTTGTGCTGCTCGATTTTCCGCAGATAAGCAGTGGTACCGTGCGCGCATTGAAGGTGTACGTGGGAAAAGTGTGGAAATTCTTTATGTCGATTTTGGCAATGTAAGTCTCTCACATTGCAGTGGTGCTTTTGGGGTGGATAGGTCACTTAGAAGGAAAATAAGCATAATCATATTTTTCGTTTAACTTTTTTTTTTGCTGCAGCGTGAAACTGTTGAGCCTTCTTCCCTCTGCACTCTCCCTGCAGGATTTGCCGCTCATCCAGCAGGCGCTCGAGAATATAAACTGGCACTTGTGACGCTTCCAAAAGATGAAGACTACGCCGAAAGGTCTAATGCTGCATTTGAAAGGTTGATGTATAGTGCTCAACATTTTCTTCTCAATATCGAAGATCGCAGTGGAGGTGTAACGAGTGTTCAAGCCATGATAAAGAATTCAGATGGAACTATGACTGATGCCGCTAAAACTTTGGCAGCTGAGGGCTATGTAATTGTTGAGAAGCGAAGGGAGAAACGGTTTGCATCATTGGTAAGTTCGTTCCTGTAAAGTACTCATTTATATAAGAATTTTAATCTTGACGATGGTTGCATTTTTTCCAGATTGCTGAATATCTGGAAGCAGAACAGAAAGCTCGTAGGCAGCACATCAATATTTGGGAATATGGTGACTGCACTGGTGAAGAGCTGTAAGGGTCTAGCGAGTTCTTTGAAAATTGCCATTGTTTTAAAAATCTGTTGATTTAATGCAGTTTTGGTGTAATTATTCGTAAATAGATATCCATTTTTAAAAGAAAGTGATATTTTTGTCGAAAGTGCCTATATTTAAATTTTAATAGAATACCATTATTAAAGACGGGAGTTCAATCCCCAGCTGCGTAATACAGGTGATAAGTTGTCTTTAGGTCGTTTTTTAATGAGAGTTTTGGTTAGTGTCGAGCTTAATGCTTATTGGTAAAGGATTTTGAGCTTGTCTACATCACTGTTTCAAAAGTTTGAGTTGAATGGAATTGCTGGCCTTGGCAATTTGATTAGACTTGTAACAGTTGAAATATAGTTTGTGCTCTTTTAGCGTTTTTCTCATGTGATGTTTTGAAGGAAAGGCAGTGGAAGATGCTTGTTAATTGTTCTATTGTTATTGTTAATTTTTAATTTATTTATTTGAAGTTCTTCTTTTTAATCACAGCAAGTTTTCCTAAGTTTTATTTAAGCTGCTCTGCCATTGTGATTGCTTTTTTTCTGTGCTTCGTTATCATTCTTGACCGTTTATAATTGTGATGCCTTTGTTAATGAGTAGTTTTTGTTATGGTTGTTACGTTTGCCTAACCATGGTTAGTGCTTTACACTTTAGAAGGGTGGTGTTCAAATGTTTTAGATACTGGATGAATAAAGCTCGTGCGTTTGTCACTAGTGCCAGTGAGTTTTTAGAAGTAGTTTTGATCTTGAGAGGTTCCAGTGAGGAGCTTTTGCGTTAGTGTTGAGTTACGACAGTGATGCTGGTTAATCAGTGCAGCAGTCGGATTCATTTTTTGTTTCGTTTGGAGTATGTTTTATTTGTCATCGAACGGGTTTGGACTTTGAGTTCTTGGCTGCGTCGTCAACGTTCATACAGGAGTGAAAAGTTGCTGGCGAATAGAAGGCAGATGGACGGTACACAAAAATCTGTGCTGTAATGCAGGTGCACGTTTAAAAAAAGGGGAGGGTTCGGGCGGAACTTCAACTTGTGCGCTGGTCAAGGTAGGTAAAAAAAAAGTTATAGAATCCGACAAGCAGGGGTTGACAAATGCGATGTTTGATGTTGCATTGGAATTTAGAGTTGCAATAGGTTGCAGGTAATGAAGGAATTTAAAGGTTGGCGGCAAATTTAAATTGGAGTTGTTACCAGTTTCGCAATTGGGACTGAGGTGCAGACTTGTCTCGTTACAAGTTCTTTATTATTTGATTTGGGGATATACATTTTCTGGTTGCCGTTCTTCCCGCTTATTTGATCTGCCTAGACGCCCGACTGGCGCTCTAGCAGAGTTCCTTTGGTGAACTTTGGTGATATGTTATAAGTACTGTAGGTATGTAGTTGGAAGACCAATAATAATTTTAATATCGGATATTTCAGATTCATTGATTTTGGCCGATCAGTTCTTGGGGATTAACAGATCTGTACTTATAGCAGTAGGAAACAGTTAAGTGGTTGGGCGTTTTCAGGACTCTGAGAGTTTTTATAGCGTCAAAAGTTGCTTTGAAACTATGGAGGAAAATTTGATCGTGGTTTCAATTTTTGGCTTTTTGACTGTCGTTGTTTTGCTCTGCGTTGATGTTTCTAATCCACTCGCTTTTCTTCTATAAATGATTCGCAAATGCGTTTTTTATAGGAAATTATACTTAACCTTATGAGTCACGGGTTTGTTAATTATTTGGGCTTATCAAAATTAGGAGTACTGGTGCATGAATTTCAGGATGACAACAATAAATGGTAGATGCCCAGTTTGTTTGGGAGACTTTGTACCAGAACGTATAGCAGCTCTCCGCTGCGGTCATACCTTTCACTACGAATGTATATTGCAGTGGTTACAAGTATTTTTTATATTATAGGATACTCGTAAATTAGCTCGTTTGGAGGTCACATTTTAAATGCCGTTTTTCTCTTTTCTGATAGTGATAATCTCTTCTTGTCTAGCAAACCACCTGACCAGTTCTAAATTTTTATTTCTTTCTTAATTCCTTTTAGCTGCTGCATATATATCTCCAGCAAAATTTCTTCGAAATTTTTGTTATGAGCAGACATTTAGAATTCTCTTCCATCGAGAAAAAGCTGCTCTTAGTCGGTCAAGAGACTGATGTGTTATAAATAACTTTTTTAGACGTCAAAAACTTGCCCTGAGTGTAGGTCTTCTGCAAATGAACGTAATCTTATTCGACAACTTTTCTTCAACAGTTGTGATATCACGCAGTCTTTAAACTTCGATCTAGCTGGCGATGAACAGGCTTTACAAAAAAAAGTTAGTAGTTCTTACTTCTCATTCGTATCGGATTTGTTCCGATACTTATTTTTTTAGCAAGGAGTTTTTTTCAGTACTAGAATTTTTTGAATAACTGCAGAGGATTCTTACATCAACGCTTGTTTAAGGTAAGTGATTTGAAACGAACCCTGGATCGAGAGATGCTAGCACGGGCAAAAGTTTCTGAGGAACTTGCAGCAGTAAGAAAACAAAAAGAAAAAGCTGAAGCTTTGGTTAGACAAATATCCTTTCAGAAAACTTTACTAAATAGAGTATTACCAGTTCTGTATAGTTTTTATTATTAACTTTGTTTATATGAATTGATATGAACTGCCTTTGTCGTTTATGCTTTAAGAATTTACACTAAACTAATTCCGCAGGGTTTGCACCTGATGTAAACTTTTAAGTTCTTTTTTAGGATGGAGTAATTTTGCTAAACTTTTAGTGCACTCATGAAAAAAAGAGAGTCAAGAACTTAACTTCGCAGGTTGCACGATTACAACAGTTTGAACTTATGCTTCAAGATCAGCAGGAACTTCAAAGGAAGCTGGAGCGTTGTCAGGCCCGTCTTAAAACTAGTGAATTGTAATTATTAATCAGTTTTTGATTTTTTACATAATCTTACTGAAGCTGCAGAGTTCATCTTTTTTAGGTCTTTAATGGAGTAATTTGATATTTGTTTTGAAAACCGGATATGGGATTTTGTTTGACAAGTTCTCACTTTCTAGGTACTCACTTTTGATGGGGAAAAATAGTCATGAAGACTGCAAGAAATTGGATGTGTACTTGGATGAGAAAGGTGATCCAGATCTGCACAAATTTCTTGATCTTATGAAAAGGTATCTTTTGTCTTTTTAGAAACCGTAGAATTGCTACTAATTCCATTTCTGATACAAAGTGGAGTTTCTTGCTTTTCAGTTTAGACTTTTGATTTAATTTTTCCTGTCTTTCAAATTCATCTCTTGTTTCTTTGTAACTTGAATTTCCTTGTATTACTTTTCTCTGCAAAGTAACTTGAAACTTTATGGGCGTCTTTTGCCTTAAATCGCTGACAGTTTTTTAACAATATGTTGCGGTATAAATTTGAAACTAATTTATAGACAATGTAATGAGTCGAAGAAAAGGTTACTTGAAATGAAAAAAAGATTGGAATCTTCTCAGAAAACAAGTTTGGATTTAAGAATGAAGGTCAGTACTTTATTTTACGAAAGACATTTTACCTTTTGAAACGGATATGTGGAGTTTTGTGCGAAAACGAAGATTACTTTTGAGGTAGTTTAATAACTTCCGATTCTTTTCAGCTAGAAAAACAAAAGAAGTTAAATGTAGTTTTGAGAGACGAACTTATTAGTCTCTGTGACGGTGGTTCACAGTCTTCTTCCAACCCTCAGTTGAAGAATTTATTGGACTGCAGGTATTTATCGCTTTTGAATTTCCTCTTTAGGTGCAGTTTTGAACGGTTTTGATATTTTTCAGTTCTGACAGCTATAGACCTTCACTTGACACGGGCTTTGAGAAAGAAGGTATATTTTCGCCGAGTTTGATGAAATCGGCTCTTAAAGCACGTTCGAGACCTGCTTTGTGTCCCATTGTCAAAAAGACTGAGAAGCGTTCATTATCTCCCTTATTGTTTAGCGAAAGTTTTGAAGATTCAAGGTTATTTCTCAAACAGCTATTAGATTTTTACTTCTCAACATTTTTTTTTTGCGGGACTTTTCATGGATTCCGGCCCCCAGAAGTTACCAATTATTCTTATCCAACAAACGGTAGATATTCCTCTTTTTTTCACTTTGTTTCAGCGATTTCTCTAGCCCATCGTCGTCCACGGAACAGCGAAGTATTGATGTGAAAGAAAATGCTGTTACGGACACATGGGATGTGGGACTGGCGGTACCTATTGCGGAGCCTGCAAGACGCTTGATTAAGAAAACGAAACTAAGCCACAGTCGGGCTCTATCTATTCTTTCAGTACCAGTGTGCAGCACAAGTACCAAGATTAATACCAGGCCAACGTCTTCAACATCGTTGAAGAAACATAGTTCTGCCGAACCTGTTCTGTCAGATATTACCCGTTACTTTGGAAAAGCTTTGGAGCATGCAGAGCAATTACCCAAATTGGAAACAACTATAACTCTTTCAGACTAATGGTTCCTACTAATTTTTAATGTTTGTATTTATCTGGAAATTAAATGTACTAAAAAGTTGTTTACGTGTATACATGTAACTTTTCAGAGTTTAATGTCATCAACTTCATGCGATTTTTAATGCTGAGTGGGAATTATATGAGCAGCTGTAGATATTTGAGGTTTAATTTGTCGATACAAAATTTGTGAACTTTTGAACCATTAGAAACTCTGTGATATTTTGTTTCCTGACCGATGACGAATGAGCTAAAGGAGTTTTATTTTTTTATGCTTGTGAATAGTCAAGTTTTATTGTTGTTTTATTCAATTTTATTATTATTATTTTTACTTTACATTGTGTGCGCTCGATGGATCTCGTTGTATTAAATAAAATTTCATTATGCATAAGAAAGTCATTGGGAGCTACACTAGTCTTCCCAGTCATACGGTTCATCCATATTTAACGCGTAATTTTTAATTGGTAGTTGTAATAAGAGTTTAATAAATTCGTAATCTGGTTGACTGTTGAATGTTAAACTATCAATGTAATGGAGTATCCTTCGGAATTCTGCCTGCAATTTATCCTTATGAAAGGGTTCACAATAGTGAGTTTCCCAAATACGGTAAAGTCCAACTTTTCTTTCATAGTACATTTGAGTGCAAGGTACCGGTCAGCTGTTATCTTTCTCACCTTGGGGCATCCTTTGAACAGTAGGTGCGTCCCGTCGGGTGTCCGACACTCGGTCTTCATTCTTTTTACTTCGTCTCTGTCGTCCCTGTGTAGTTCTCCCCATGGCAAAGCACCTGTAAACATTCTCTTCTTTTTATGTTACATTAGATTGATGTTAGTGTAACCTAGGGTCTCATAACAGTTGGTTAGTCGACGTTTTGGCCCAATACGTCTTTTCAACTTCCATTTCGACCATTCTACGAACCCTAACTTTATCTTAGCGCTTTTTAGTGTCATTGTAGGGGTTATATTTTACAAAGTTCTGTCAATTGTAAGCCACAAAATTTTAGAGAAGATAGAGTTGGCTATCGGGATAAGTTATTATTTTTATTTGGTAAAGACGTATTTATTGATTTTTAGTGTATGTTTCAAACTATTCTTTGGCTCACTAGGTGCAGCAGTTGACGATTTTCAAAGATTTTTAAACTTCTCTGTGTCAACTTCTTATGTTCGGTTTTCCAGGTATTACTCGGACGTAACACAAGACAAGTCACGCATTTTCAGAAATTATGCTGAAACAGTGTTAGTGTTTTAATTAGTAATTTGTTAATTTGAACGAAGCAAATAGTGATTTAAGAAGAATTTCCTATTTGAACTCATTGGGGACTGGTTATGGCTTTCC